CAGCAACCTCCAACTTCCGGGCTTAAGTGATTCTCTTTCCTCAGCCTCCCAAGCAGCTGGGACTACAGGCGCCTGCCACAGTGCCTGGCTATTTTTTGGTTGCAGTTTGGCTGGTTTTGAATCGGCCACCCTTGGTATATGGGGCCGGCGCCCTACTCGCTGAGCCACAGGCACCGCCCGTGTTGATATTTTTAGTTTACTTACCTTGACAGAGACAGACTTGTGTAGGTATGGTGTTAACTGGTCAGAGTGAGCAAGCAGTCTTTCATCTCCCTCATTTTAAGTGCTGGAGGAATCTTTCACAATTCTAGGTTGGAGAGCAGTTGGAAGGGTATAATCAAATTTATGAAGAATAGGTGTTTTTCTTAAAGGAAAGGGAGAGGTCTTCCTTTCTTATTGTTTAATCTTTTGGTCCTGAATGAGGGGAGTATTTTTGTGTGATCTGAAGGAATTTGGGGGGTATTGGTGGTCGCACTGCCATTCTGAGGGCTCCTTCTGTTCTGCAGGTACCCATCACTCATTGTGTAGTGTTCAGTGTCCCACTGGCCACTCATCTTGCATTACTGGCAGGGGCCTGCCTTGAAAGAGAATTACCAACGGGTGCTACAAGCCAGTAGGGGAAGGCGGCTCACGACTCAGGATCTGTTTCTTTGAAGGGGATACAGAATAGGGGAGAGTGAAATGCCTTCTTACCCTTTTCCTAACTGGACCTGGTGCTGCAGAAGTCAGAACAAGCACTAGCTACCAGTAGAGATCCCTCATTTCTATTCCAAGTGTAATGTTGCCTTCTGTTTAAACTTTAATTTGGGATATATATTTCAATGGGAAGGGAAGGAGGGAGAACTGAGCCCAGCTGGTCAGCTGCTGTCATGACTGATCTGACATCCTCTCTTGATGCTTCTCAATGCTATATATTGGTTTGCCCAGGGCCATGCCTTCTGTGCCCCACTAAGGCTGCCAAATGCCTTGAGATTCAGATCTTTCACCAACTCTTTTAAAATGATTCGTCTATTGTCTCAGTTTTCTACCATGATTTCTCATCAAAAATATCCCTGTCTGTAATTAAAAGTGCTCATTTTGAAGGGTTCAGAATCAGATAATCTTTTTGGCCAGGGCCTAAAATTTCACATTTAAATTTTCACCCTGGGTTCTTCCTTGCTGTCTAAAACTTGAGGACCACTGTCCAAGGACCTTGGTAGGTAAGTGATTAATAAATTCAAGCCAAATTGCCATAAAGGTAACAGGGTGACATTTGTATCTCCTAGCTAGTTATTGCATGTTTTTTAAGGAAAGAGTCTATATTTAGGGTTATAAATAATGTGAAATTGTTGCTAGGAGGAACAAGTATAGTGGAAGCAGCCTACTTTTATTAGCGCAAACTGATTTTTAATGTTTAAATATATGCAGAGCATGTTCTATGGTAATCACATTTTTGTAAATGATCTTAAGTTCCAGGAAATTTAGTTATGTTTCTCATAGTGTTTTAGTCTCATTATGACTCTGACACACATTGATTTATAGATTCCTCAAAAGAAATGTCTCTGACCAAAAAAACCACAAAAAAATTAGTTCCATACACATTATATTAAAAACCACATAAAAATGTGGAGAGTGGTAGCAAAAAAAAATTGTTTTTAATTAAAAAAGATCATTTGAACAATCATTATACACAGTGTTAGAATTCACTGGGGCTGCTTTTCTGAAAAGATAGATTTGAGCAGTAGCAGAATAAGCTTCCTCACCCTGACTAGTCTGAGAGCTAACTTATAGTTTGGAAAGACTTCTTTCACTTGGTGAGGAAAATTATTCTGTATTTGCAATCTTTAGCCTCTGCTGAAGACATTAAAAAAAGGTTTTGATTGAACATTAAAAAAAAAAAATCAAACAGATGTTGAGCCAGAGTAATACTCAAGCAAAATAGATGTATTAACAACTTATACTTTATGACACACAGAGCTTTAACTCATTTCTGACTTCAATTTATAATTAGAAATGAGAGGTTCATTGTTTAGGATGAGATGAGAATTGAAATTCATCTTTTTACCCAGAGTTCACCTATGTTCTATTGTGACTTCTAGCCTGAATTTAGTTTAAAATAACTTATTGTCTGGAAACATAGGCAGTTCACAGGTCTAAGGTTTTTCATTTGCAAAATAAGGATCATTCTTGCCATTATTGCTTAATAATCCACAGTTGTGGTTATTTCTGTTTTTGACCGTATTTTCAGCCATCTCATAATAGAGAGTTCTGAGATTCTAATTTCTTCCTCTACTAAGGAATGGACCTGCTAGAGGACCAGAGAGTATTACAACTTGAAAAGTGCATATAAAAATGTTGATTGAATTATATTTACATTTCTGAGCTGAAATATTCTTGAGCAAAGAAACAATAATTATTCCATGATATTTCATTATGGTACATTATGATGATTCAAGTTGAGATGGATATCTTTTTAATATAGTATAGTTCCTAATTTTGTAATCAAGCTATAAGTGTTTGTATTATTGGATGTAACATCCTTCAGCAAAGCCTAGTCCTTAGATAATTTGAAAAGTATTCAACCAAATATTAATTAGTGTTTTCATGTTCAATCATCTTGCTAGTAGCACAGTACTGTTAATTAGATAAGCTATGGCTATTGAGGGAAATTTTATGTTTCCAGTAGCATTTTCAATAGTTCAGTAAACCTCAAGTAACTGGAGGGCTTAGGGAATGAAGAGTTTTTACTTAGTTTAATTTTGTTATTAAGTAAGAATTTGTTATAATTTTAAAAATATTTCTTAATATGTTAGTATTCTTTATGAATTAAAGTAAATATTAAAAATTTAGTATCTGTCTCTTGGAGTTACATTAGGATCATCATACAGTTGGAAAAACTATTTATCTGGTTGCTCCATTTCAGTTTTCTCTTCCTATTCTATTTCTGCATTCTCTCTCTGAGTGATGAAGTCAGTTCTGTTACTATCTATTTAATACTCATTTAGAACAACATTTCTAACTCAGATTTCTTTTTGAGTTCAAGACTCCCCTCAAAATACCTGCTTGATCCTTTTACGTGGGTGTTTCAACCTCAAACTCAATATGGCCAAACCAATCCCATTTCTTACCTGAAATCTATTCTTCCGGGAGCTCTGTCTCAGTCAGTGTACCACCACCTGTAAAGGTAGAAAGCTGGGAATCTGTTTAAATCTTTCTCTCACCTGGGTCTCATTCCTTACCAGTCTTTTCAGTTGCATTGTCCATACCTAGTTCAACAGCAGCTTGTTTTTCTTACAGAGAAAACGAAGTCTTTGAGTCTTTCCAAGACATTCAATCACAGGAATAACAGTACTCTTTCTTTTTTTGCTTATATTTTATTGGTTTGGTTTGTTTAACATTTAATTCAAGTATATATTTATGATGCAAGGGTCTGGTTTGTAAATGTACAGTGAACCTATAGAACGGAGGTGCTTCATGGGCAACTTGCTGTAGATGTCAGTGTTTTATAGAAGAACTGGACATTGTGTCTATCAACCTAGCAAGTTGGTTGCACGGAGGTGGGTAAAGAGAGTTTCCACTGTAATTATTTTGTATTGTTTATCTTCTTTTGTTAGAATATGAGCTCTTACAAGGCAAGGACTACATATTTTTTCATTTTTGTAATTTTCCCCATGCACAGTGCCTACTACTTAATAGATATCCATATGTATTTGTTGGATAACTGAACAGATTCTTTTATAGCTTATACTAAATTTGAATAACCAAGAATAGCATTGGTTTGGGAATCAGTATAGACAGATCATTGGTCCTGGAGACAAATGAGAGTTTGAGTCCTTTCTCGTTTGTATTTTTTTGGTATTGTTTATATATATATATATAAACAATATATATATTGTTTATAGAAATATAGAATTTATATTGTTTATAGAAATATAGAATATATATTGTTTATAGAAATATTGTTATAGAAATATATATATATATTTCTATTGTTTATATTCTTGAGCAGATTATGTTCTCATTTTCAACTGAGGAATGGAAATAACATCACCCTGTGGGTTGTGTGAGGATTACATGGGGACATAAAGTGTTGGGTACAGTGTCCACCATAAGCAGTAGTCCTGATGACACTTAACCCTACTGAGGGAATGGGAGGATTCACTTGGTCTGAATTTTCTCATTGAGAGGCCTGAATTACATGATCTATGTGTTTCCTTTCTGCTCTAGAATTTTCTTTCTATAAATAATGTTTCATATTTTGGACACACTTGAATTGAAAACACATAAATATTCATGTTTGTAGATTTGATCAAGTAATTAAAAGGTGATTTATTATAAGATAACCTTATACCTCTAGAAACAATTTGAGGCTTTAGAGCATCATTGGTTAGTGAGTTGAACTTTCTAATAAAGTGTAAAGAATAGCTTTGCCACACTAATTGCTGTTACACTATTAAAATAGGTCCTAAGGTAGGAAGTAGAGAAGGAAGTTCTAAGGAGGTTGTATGGAAGCATTAACTTAGAGGAAGTAGGAAAAATTAAGCTTTCCATACGAAACTTACAGACAAACTAAACTTTTTACTAAATAGACATCCTGCTTAAATATACCAGGATTTTTACTATACTCAACATTAGTATTTATAAAAATACCTGTAATTATAAAAAACTAGATACATATTTGTTACACATCTAGGTTCTGAGTTTTCATGTACATCCTATTTTCATCTGAATAAAAAAATGTGGAAAGAGTGAAAAAATGGAAAAAACAAAAATAGTTTTTGGAGTGGTCCTGAGGTTATTTTTCATTCTACATCCCAAATTATGGTTTACTTAAAGGAGTAAGTCGGGGCAGTGCCTGTGGCTCAAGGAGTAGGGCACTGGCCCCATATGCCAGAGGTGGTGGGTTCAAACCCAGCCCTGGCCAAAACAAAACAAAACAAAACAAGGAGTAAGTCAATTAGCAGAATTTCTTTTGGTATTCATTCTACATTTGATGTTAATACTTAGCTTTTATATTGCAGTTATCACTTAACATGGAAGGAGATGAGTTCTTTGGAGAAAAAGCATTCCAGCATTATTGTGCAGAATTTATTAAACATTCACAACAAATAGGTGATGGCTGGGAATGGAGAACGTCAAAGGTACGAATAGAAAGTTTTGTTTTGTATGTTTTATATTTCAATGAAAGATTTTTTTTTGTTTGTTTTATTTCATTGCTGTGTAAAACCCCAGTAATTGAAACTAAGTTATAAAAACTGGTTTGTTTTTATAAAGGGTTTAAATTGAAGGAATGTTTTAAAACAGATGTCCATTTTATTATTTCAATATATATACTCATTATTAGGCTAATGAAGTATTATTTAGAAAAGTCTTTAGGTGACCTGCTTTAATTTAAGAGATAAGAATTAGCACATTAATTATCTGAATGTAAACAGATGCTTTCTTGGTACTTCAAATCATTTGTTTACACTATTAATTTTCTTAGGAAACTACTTGTTTCTAGAGAGCAAAAAGATAATCTTAAAACCAAACCATAATCAAACAATCACAAATTATGAAATACTGAGGACTGTGTTAATTGGGAATTTCTTAATAATATAAACACATTTCAAAACATTTTTTCCTTTGCTTCTATTTAGTAATAATAATGTAAAAGGGGCCACTGTGGTGGTTCTTGGTTTGTAGTTTCAGCCCTTTGGGAGGCCAAGGTGGGAGGATTACTAGAGGCCAGGTGTTTTCTAGACCAGTCTGGACAACATAGCAAGACCTCATCTCCTGTTACCATTTCAGTGACCTAGCAGAATAGGGGAGGAGAAGATTAAAAAGGGAGCAGGGACTGTATGTCCCTTTGTGTGTAGGGGGAGACAAGGGCAGGGCAGGGGAGGATCTTCAGGACGGAAATTATATCTGTCAGAAGTTTCTTCACTGAGGTTGTAAACTAATGCCCCAAGGACCAGTTTTCAGGATTTGTTTTTATTATTGGTCTGTCTCTAAAAAGGAACTGCTAAGTCTTCTTCTTTGCTGCCACTGGCTGGCTAGTTAGGAAATTTCTCTATCCTTTGTAGTGAGAGTTACACCTCTAATTAAGGACAATTCACTTTCATGTAGGGGATAAGTGCATAGATAGTATCAAAACAAAACAAAGCAACAGCTCAGGCTTCTTTACAGCCTTTGGGCAAGAACTTCAAACTCAAACATCTGTGGATGTCAGGGTGGGAGTGGTAATGTAAGGGGGTTGAGCTGCCAGAGTCAGACAATATGAAGATTGAGTCCAGGGGTCTGTGGCTGACCAGGGAGTGCTTGGCCTGTGGCCAGGTTTGAGACATGGGCTCAAATGTTAAATGTAGATTCAGAGGGAAAAATCTCTGCATTTTTAAATGTTGGCAACTAATTCAAAAGATATTTTTCAGACAGTGAGGACCAAACCAAACACAGCAGTCCGTAGTCACACATAACATTTGGGCAGAGGGGTCCAGTTTCTGACCTCTGGGATTGGATGTGTGCATAGCACAACTCTGGTTTCTCCTCCAGCCCTGCCTCACTGCCTACTGTTGATCTGAACTGGGAAAAGGGGGTCTGAGCAAAGTAAATCCCCATCTTTTGAATTTGGATGTGTTAGTATTTTTTGTCACTTACTTTCTGCAATCCTGGGCTGCTTTTTCGAAAGGAATTGTGAATTGGTCACTTCATTATGTCCTTCAAACTTTCTATCATATTACCTAGTAGCGTAATCTTTTTCTGGAACTTTTTGGAGATAATAGTTATATTATTGCTTTGCCTTTCAGGCCCTAGAAATTTATTTTTGTTTTTTAAATACAAAATTGAAGTGTAATTGGTATAGAATAAACTGAACATTATTTAAAGTGTACGGTTTGATAAGTTGTGATACATCTATACACCTGTGGACTTTTACTACAATCAAGAAAGTGAACATATCCATCACCCCCAAAAGTTTCATTATACCCTGGCTTTAGTTAAAATACCTTTGTCTGCCCTGTCTTGCTTCTGAAGTTAGTTTTAAAGGTAATCTTGTTTATACCTACATCCAGAGGCTTCCTTAAAGAGGATACATATTGTCACTCATACCTTCAGGTTTGTTTCTAGATCACTTTGGCACCATCAGTTTTATTTTTCAATTTTAGAAGAATCCTGACAATATTTAGAGAATCAGGATAATTTTCCTTTATAGAAAGGTAAAATACCACTTTTCAGGCAAACTTGATGAGAAAAAAAGTGTAAGTTAATGAAACATGCAAATTATTTAAAAATTTTGTTTAGTCAAAGCAGTCCTAATTTTTATACCTGGAGCTTTGCAGAATAGGAAGAATACTTCTAAATCAGTATTTTTTCAGTGGGACTGGATGCTACTGACATCTAGTCAATAGAATAATTCTTATCCCATACCTCTGACTTTTCCAAACCCATCAAGAAGGTGGTGTATTCATTGAGAACAATTATATTCCTATATTAAAAATACTGGTTAAGTGCATGAGCTTCACAGTCAGATAGGCCAGGGTTCAAATACCTGCTCTACCATTTACTAGCTAGATTTTAGGCAAGTTACTTAATGTCTCTAGAGTATATTTTCTTTATTCATAAAGTAGGAAAAATAATAATATTCTCCTTATACGGTTGTTGTGTGGATTAAATAATATTTTTCTTTTCTTTTTTTTTTGAGACAGAGTTTAACTCTGTCACCTTGGGGAGAGTGGCACAGTGTCATAGCTCACAGCAACCTCAAACTAATGGGCTTCAGCAATCCTCTTGCTTTAGCCTCTCAAATAGCTAGGGCTACGGGGACCTGCCACAGTACCTGGTTAGTTTTTCTATTTTTAGTGGAAATGGGGGTCTCACTCTTGCTTGAGTTGGTCTCAAACTCCTGAGTTCAGGCCATCCGCCCACCTTGACTTCCCGGAGTGCTAGGATTATAGGTGTAAGACACTGTGCCCAGCCATTAAAAGATACTTTTCATTCAAAGAGTGCAGCACAGTTTCTGGCATGTAGACAGCCACCTTACAGTTATGATTTTTAGTTGGTGGTTTGAATTTTTCTGTGTATGTTTTTGCAGAAGTAATGCTACTAATGAAGTTGCACTTAGGTTCTCAGAAAATTCTGTAAAAGCTTTTTAGCACCAAATATGCCATACTGATTAGTAGTACATTGTTCTGAATTCTCTAGGCCAAGAAGGGAGAGTAGAAGGTGGGGACAGAAGCACAGGAGCCTCAGAAGGAGAATTCTCTCCTGCCCTGTCAAGAGAGGCCTTACCACATGTTCATCCTTTCTTTTGCCCCCATAATCTCCTAGTGCTTCACCTCAGCTGCATCCGCCCTAGCAAAGGGAAGTACAGCTTCTCATCTGAGCAGCCTTCCCACTCTTCTCCCATCCACAGATTGGTGCCATAGTTAAATTAATCCTTAACAAAAAAACCCTTTGATGGTTGGCGCGGTTGCTCACACCTGTAATCCCAGCACTGTGGGAGGCTGAGGAGGGAGAATTGCTTGAGCTCAGAAGTTTGAGACTTGCCTGAGCGAGAGTGAGACCCTCAACTCCTAAAAAAATGAAAAACCTAGCCAGGCACCGCAGTGAGCACCTGTAATCCCAGCGGCTTCCGAAGACTGAGTCAGCGGGATGCCCACAGCTCAAGTCTGAGGTTACAGTGAGCTATGACGCCATTGTACTCTGCTCCAGGCATAGGGTGGAACTCTGTCTCAACAACAAAACAAAACAAAACAAAACAAAACAACAAAAACCTTTGATGAAGTCCCATTTCCCCTTTGCAGTCAATTTGAGCTCTGTCTCATAACAGAATAATATGGAAACTCCATAATAGAATGTCCAGGGTCCCATATTGTGACTTCCTGCTACCTGTCCAGCTTCATTGTCCACTCTAACTCATTTCACTCTCTCTCAAAATTCCTAGAAATGAAGGAAAAACTATTTTGAAAAATAAATAGGTAAATTTTTATCAGGACTAAAAACCAAAAAAGGTATCTTCAAAGGGTAATAAATCTTGATGGACTTCTGAAAGGCAGAAAGCAGATGAGATTGGAGTGAAGAAAGAAATCAGGTCCCCGAAAGCAGGGGTAAGAGGATGTATGTGGTGAGGGCAGAGAAGGACTGGGAGGAAGAAGGGAGTCCGTGCTCCAAGTTCAGAGACTGCAGACCCAAGCACAGTCTAGGTTCCTTACTCTCTGCTTTTGAAAGTTGCTTTGAAGTAAAAATAAATTAACAAGCTTTAAATAAAGCCTTTCCCCACTTATTTTTGGATAATCAGTTTTACTCTCGAGTAAATGTTCAAGGTAATGTTTAAGATTTACTCTTACCATAGCCTTTGCTGTTGCAGAATTCATCCTTTCTTGTATTAGGAAAGAATGGCAGAAGTAAATGTGTAAATTGTTAATGTTCTTAGGATCTCCCTGCAACTACGTGGTCAATGGATGTTTATTATGATGTATCATAAAAATACACAAGCATTGTGGCTCAAAGGAGTGAGGTGCCAGCTCCATGTGCCGGAGGTGGCGGGTTCTTGTTGTTTTAGTTCATGAAGCCTGACATTGCATAAACAAGTTGCTAACTTTCTCTGGACATAGTGCCAAGAATCCCAGGTAGTTTTTGTGCATTCATGGACTCTTAAATATGTGTCTGAAAATTAAATATTGAGATTAATCTGCTTTCTGTTCCTGAGAGCTAAAAAACATTGTATAATGTTAAATTTCACATTGCTTTTAAGATATAACATTTGAGGATTTTTTAAAGAAATTTTACTTGTGCTTTTTAAATGTTCTTTACCTATACAAATGAAAACAGTTGAACACTTTAAGTCCGACAAATCAATTGAAGCAAAAGAGTTGCTACTTTGGGCTGCCTTGTGATTTCTCATCTTGTATTTACTCTAAGTCTTAGCCTTCATAAGTATCATTGTTTTCTGCTCCTTAAAAAAAAGGCAAAATGCACTGAAATAGTTACATAATTACATAAACACTAAAGTACAGATAAAAATGATGACCCATGTGAAAGTGATCTACTGGGAGATAGTGCCACCCTATATATAAACTCAAAACAAACCTTCTGTCATCAGCTGATGAAGGCATGTCTTAATTTGGCATAAGAAAAGCAATTTACATATCTTAATGTAACAATT